ACACACACACACACACGTATACACTCAGACACAGACATATATATATGTATATATAGAAATTGTATCCAAATAGCATGCAAATGTCTGAGAAAAGGTCTCTCTGGTAAGCGAGGAGTTGGTAAATTATATATGTGTCACATATCCTATGTCAACGATGATTTGGATTGCAGCAGGCAGTGTGAGACATACCATCCCTGCTCGTGAGCGATGTTCCCATCAAACTCGCATTCGTTGTCGATCGTCAGAGAGCCGCCATCGTTCAATCGTGCAATATGAATTGCTCCACCATCCGCTGCTTGGTTTCGTATGAACTTCGTTCCTTTGATGTCGATTGTTCCTGTAACATTTATTACCGTCATAGCACCACCTAGCCCATGCTGGTATTCGAATATGTTGTCTTCCAGTACTGTGTCTTCAAGCGTAATACTTTGGTTTACGTTTAATTCCTGAAACCACAGCGTACCGCCACCACCCCAGTATTCTGTATGGTCTTCATCGTAGTACGCTACCTTATTCCGTGTAAAGCGGGACTGCCTAATGTACACCTGTTCAGCTACTTGTAGAAAGATCACAGATCCACCTCGCGCCTGAGTAGTGAAGTTCTCCGCACTGATGTTATGCAACAGTAATGTGTACGGTGGCATTCCGCTGAAATTGTCCTTAGCAATTACTGCATCAACATCCAACTCGTCGGAATGGATCAATCGTGACCACCCGACAGGCGAGCCGACAAAGTCTATGCCAGCCAGACTTAAGTTCGTTTTAGGGGGGCCATTCATGTAAAAGATACCCTGTTGCCAGTCGTTTAACTGAGATGTTACCAGAGGCCGCACACCGTCACAGATAACACCTTGAATACTAGTGTTTTTAGTTATGTTGAGTTCGGTGTAGATGTTCTGGCTTCCCACCACGGATATTTCATCGCCCACTGCCGCCAATTGCAACGCAACACTCAATTCACGACACACACCCTGCAACCACGCACCACTACCGCAGTCGCAACTCTGCGCTGCTGTCTGGTTTGTCATAGGGTTCACCACAGGACCCTCCAAATCCATGCTCGCTTCCTCTGAGATACCTTCAGACTCCATATCCGAGCTCATGATTTCGGATTCCATACCCGCAGTTGCTGTTTCGATACTAACAAACTCTGACCCCATATCCGAGCTCATGATTTCCGATTCCATATTATCAGTTGCTGTTTCGATACTAATTAACTCTGACTCCAGGTCGTCAAGTGCTGTTTCTGTACCCACTACTTCCGAATAAAAATCAACATCAGAGGCTGAATCTATAGGTTCAGAGGCTGAATCTGTCGATTCAATTTCAGAGGTTTCCATCACGGCTGAGGCGGTGATAGTATTTGGAACGGTAGTTGTAGCAGAACTATCATTTGTTATATCACTTATACTAACTATATTAGTTGTATTAGCGCCCGAGGAAATTAACGAGAAAGAGCTATTTGTAGTTTGGGCGATGCATGTTGATGTCGTACTCCACAACAATAGCGAGACAACTCGTAACATGATGTGTATGATTTATGGTGCGTGCTGCAACCTCTGGCCAGTTTATACATGCATTTGAGATAAGAGACGGCGAACTAACAAGTCACAGTAAATTTAGACTAAACTGTTCCTGTATGTGGGGTTGTAGACATGCTTGCTATACACTGTCCACCAGTCACATCCTTGGGCATCTGGGGCGGGGGGCGGGGGAGGTTCGGAAAGCTCGAGCCGCACTTAAAAACAAGAGACTCATCATGTTGACTTTTGTTTTTTTTAAACGTTTAGAGGAAGTCTGAGACTCCCACAGCCCCACCTGAACAATTTTTAAAATGGGCTTGATAGACGGGCTGATTGCTGGAGGGGGTCAAGTAGCAACTAAATGCAAGTATAGGGAGTTAGGGACTCCACAAGAGTGTTTGCAACAGCATGCTGCATGCAGGTGCTTAAAAAAATCGTAATATGGATATCATTAGCAATTTTAGCATACATATGCGGATTTTAATTATTTACTCTTTGTAGCACAAAAGTATATTTTTTTTGGTATAATTCAGAACTTCAGAAGGCTACGTATTTATGATATTTTTTATAAAAATAAACGTAGATCAATCTCTTCAGGACTTCAGGGAGTTCAGGCTCAGGACCCAGGGTCCAGAGTCCAGACAGGTCCAGAGTCCAGACTCTCTCTCTCTCTCTCTCTCTCTAGCTAGAGAGAGTCGCTCTACAGTTCACCATCTATTGTGACTTGTGACTCTCTCTCTTGTGAGAGACTGAGCCAGAGTCAGCCCCAGTCAGACTGCCAGTGTCTCAGAGACGTTATTTAGGCCCACAAAGGACGGCTGAGCCTGACAGGCTAAAACTTGACAGGCTGACACCCCACGCACCAAGGGCCACGGGCCGAGGGGCACGGGGCCACGCACCAGTTCCAGTCCCAGTGGGTCCAGTACCCAGGCCCACGGCCCACTCTCTAGATTTTAGGTCTTGACTTGAGAGTTGGGACTTGTTGGACAATCTTGCGTCGTGAGACTTGAGCGGACGCGGAGCACATATTTTTGTTAAAATTAGACTGGCTCAGGGGAACTTTCCTAAATACATATATATATATATATATAAATATATTATATTGTTTTGTTTTGTTTTGTTTAAAAAAAAACCCCAACAAAACAAAAGAAACAAAAAAAAGTTAAAAACAACATTCACTGAACAGTGAACAGTGAACTGACAGAAGCACAGATAAATATAAATAATATAATTATATATACAGATATTAGAAAGAGAATCAGAGCGCCACTCTCGTCACTGTCGTCAGTCGTCAGTCGTCAGTCGTCAGTCGTCACCTTCAATTTGAATTAAAATAAAAGAAAACAATACTTAACCATTTAAAAATATATATAAATATATATATATACAGCCTCCTATTACTATTTTTAAAAGCTCATATTTAACGTTATTTATGGGGGAACGGGATAGAAGTTGAGCGTAAACGTAAATATATTCAATTTTAAAACGCTATAACGGTTATAATGAGAAAGAATGGGTTCGTAAATGTAAATATCGTGAACATGGTATGGTACACACTTAAATGTTCAGACCCGCAAGTTGCACCTATGAGCATACAAAGGACCGCATATGAAATAAAAGTTGAACGTAAACGTATATTCATATCATTTATAAAAGTTTTAACGGAAAACGGTTTGAGGTTAGTCCTAATATGTATTTAGACTGTATTTACTATGTATTTTTAGTATCTACACTCTGAGTTGTTTTTTGTTTGTTTTTTTTAACTAAAAAAGACAACGGTTGCATACCCCAGGATGTGTGCGACGAATGCACATGCAATTGTAAACGAGGACGATGTTCAGTGTGAAATAGCGCGTGCAAGAAGTGTAAGTGTGCTTGCAACGGTACGAATGGCGCTAGGAAACGTGGTCGTCAGAAGGGATTCACCAAGGTAGTAGGCGAGGTGCAGCATACTTCATCAGGACGCACATCAGCTAAGAGAGCACGTTTAGATATTGCAGAGAGTATACGTGCGCTTGATACTCCATCACGTGCTAAGAGTGCGCCAAGTGAGACATACACACACTCTGAAAGTCAAAACTTTGTCACAATCAGCACGAATAGTAACGAACGTCTAAATACAATAGTAGATATCTCACAGACATTTGAATGGAGTCGCAACAATAGAAAGGGCTTGCCTAGTACAGAATTACGCACTAACGACACTGAAACCCAAAGAATACATCCAAATTGCTGGAGTTTCATGTCTCAAATTGTGCTTAAGGCTGCTACCCGTGTTGCAAACATAAAATATACAGCAGATCCAGATGCTTTGTTGCGTAACATCGCAAGCTCTCTCGGTGCCGCAAGCAATTCATCTGAAGACGTTAATAAACTCCCTGGTGGGCGAGTATTGGTCTGTCTTGTAGATGTATATAATAGAGCCCCCAAAAAACTCTATACAAAAGAGGGTGTACGGGCTGTACTAGTTAAAGCACTAACTAGGAAAGAGATAGACATACTTAAAAAAGTAGGAGAACTAACCTTGTCAGGATCATCACGTGACGTTAGCTATAATGACTGGGCTGTAATGGATCGCAGTGATGCTCTAAACACAGTGAAGTATAGCAGAGCGAGGTTCAGCGAATCCAGGCTCGAAGCGGCTATTCAGTTTATACTCTCAGAGGAGAATGTATGTCTAATATCCTGGGGCACTAAGTCTTTAAGGATAGGACGCAATGAAATTGTTACTCTGCCTACTCTCACGCGCCGTAAGCCTGCACAGGTACTATATAAAGACTATCTTGTGTCTGCTGACGAAGATGAACAAATTGGGAAGACTAGCTTTATGAAAGTTGTTCTATCAATTACAAATAATGATGAGAAGTTAATCACTGCGGTCGATTATGTCACGGGTTGTCTTGTAACTGATGTCGTCGATACGATGCAAACCATTCTAGAAGACCTCTCCGAAGACCAAGCAGAGCGCACACGACTGTCCACGTTGGTGAACTTAGGAAAGACATTCATCAAACAACAATTAGATCATAAAGTAGTCTTAGAAGATTCCATCAATACTCATGGGTGTAAGATTCGGTCTAATAAAGGCGATACCAATGCCTTAGAATAAATAAACGCGTAGATAAATTCTATATCGTGTAAGTATCGATATAAATAAACGAAATGAGACGTTTAATAAAGCTAGGTTTGCTTCGTGAAAACAGCAATACTCTGAGGGATTGTGAGGCTGAGACATTGCCTATATATAGTCCTCTCAGTACTGTTTCCGCCGAAGGGATTTTATTTTGTGTTTCGTTGTCGCTCTATTAGAAACTATGGTATGTTTCATTGGGGCGAATCCGAGAGACTCATAAAATCCTATCTTTAGAAAAAGGAAATAAAAATAAAAATACTCTTGATATCTTTAGTTATTGTATTAACCAATAACTTGCCACTATCAAGAATTACCGACTTAGCCTTCATCAGACTGGCACATCTGGTTGGCTTATCGGAGGATCAACTAGGTAACGTTAATAGTCCCTAAAAACCTATATTCGGTTGAGCCATCTCGCTACCGAAGTATTCAGATATAAATAAAATTGGAAAATAAATAAAGCTCTATTAATAGAACTAGACCAACTCTTTTATGTTTGATATTTTACTGAGGCCTTTTAATGGCCTCATCCAAATATCTGAAATGTTAAATTGAAAAGGTTCAATTAATAAAACCATTAAAAACCATTTTAGGAAACTTAAGTTCCTCGTGCTATTATGAATAAATTCTGGAAACTTAAGTTCCTCGTACTATTAAGAGTACGTTTATAATTTGCGTAGTGCTTAAGAGTACGTTTATACATTGAGTCTAATGTGGAGATCCGGCTTATTACATGGGTTGGAATATGCACTCTTGAAGCAATCTAAAGATGTACCTGTTAGGGATGCCGAGTGTAATGGGTGTAAGTTCGTGCCTTGGGTAGTGTTAGAAGTTAAGCGTACAGTAAGACGGAGTACTTTTGGTGGGGCAGATATACAGCAAGACGCCCTGGATGTACTTGAAGTTTGCCGAGATAAACTAGATATCTTTTTAGGACATAGAACAAGAGTCAAGAACCAACAATACCATATGTAAACTTCGATGGAAATTACTAGGTTTCAAACCATATTAAACTAAAATACAATTTAGTCAGTTAGGATTTAGCAGTGGTAGCTTGTGTATGAATGATCGGGACTGCCTCTTGTTAAGAGCCTAAATATCCTCGATCACACAGGGCGTACCTCTAGCTGTTCTTTATTGAATAGTTTTCACTAGAAGTACTAAGTGTTCATGACCACATGCCTAATTTGTAGATAGACATAATAACGTAAGTCACGTTGATACATTAGCTGATATAAATAAAGTTCCATCTGAAGAAAAGTTAAAAAAGAAAAAGACTTATTGGATTTTGGAGATTGGCGGGAG